GTGTCGCCTCAGGATAGGCCCAAGGTGCAACGACTCCTCAGCCAGTATCAAGACCTTGGTGCATTCTCAGGATAAAACCAAGGCACAACGACTCCTTAGTCAGTCACAAAACCCTGGCACTGCCTCAGGATAGGCCCAAGGTGCCACGACCACTTAGTCGGTCACAAGGCCCTGGCATCGCCTCAGGACAGGCCCAAGGCACAACTACCCCTTAGTCGGTCACAAGAACCTAGCGTCGCCTCAGGACAGGCCTAACGTGCCACGACCCCTCAGTCGATCACAAGGCTCTGGTGCCGCTTCAGAACAGACCCAAGGTACAACGACTCCTCAGTCAGTATCAAAGCCCTTGGCTCTTCTTAAAGGTAAGCCTAAGGTACAACATATGGTTCGATTCCTTCTGCTCTAATCGTCCATATTGGTCAAGACCTTGGTACCTTCTAAGGGTAAAACCAAGGCACAACGACTCCTCAGTCAGTACAAAGCCCTTGGCTCTTCTTAAAGGTAAGCCCAAGGCACAACATATAGTTCAATTCTTTCTACTCTCATCGTCCATAGTGGTCAACACCTTGGTACCTTCTCAGGGTAAAACCAAGGCACAACGAATCCTCAATCAACACAAATCCCTTGGCTCTTCTTAAAGGTAAGCCTAATGCACAACATATGGTTCGATTCCTTCTGCTCTCATCGTCCATAGTGGTCAGGACCTTGGTACCTTCTCAGGATAAAACCAAGGCACAACAGCTCCTCAGTCGGCACAAAGCTCTTGGCTCTTCTTAAAGGTAAGCCTAAGGGACAATATATGGTTTGACTCCTTCTGCTCTCATCGTCCATAGTGGTCATGACCTTAGAACCTTCTCAGGGTAAAACCAAGGCACAACGACTTCTTAGTCGGAACAAGCCTTTGGCTTTTCCTAAAGAATAAGTCCAAGGCAAAATGACTTCTCAGTCGGAACAACTTGGCTCTTCCTAAAGAATAAGTCCAAGGCAAAACGACTTCTCAATCGGATCAAAGCCCTTGGCTCTTCCTAAAGAATAAGTACAAGGCAAAATGACTTCTTAGTCGGAACAAAGCCCTTGGCTCTTCCTAAAGAATAAGTCCAAGGCAAAACACTTCTCAGTCGGAACAAAGTCCATGGCTCTTCCTAAAGAATAAGCCCAAGGTAAAATGACTTCTCAGTCGGAACAAAGTCCTTGGCTCTTTATCTAGGAATCAACCAAGGCACAAGGACTTCCTAGTCGGTTCCGAAGGACTTCGCTCCCCATAAGGAGTAGCCTAAAGTACAAAGACTCCACAAGTCAACAATCAAATCTATGGTTCCCCACCTAGAAAAAACAAAGACGTCGCTACTTATCCTGCATATTATATCTAATCTACAAGGACCAACACTCTTCTCAAAAAGAAAAATGGAGCCACGACATGATCAACTATTCTATCAAGCATTTGCAATTCTCAGAAGCAGAAGACAGAAGAAATCGTTTCTCATTCAGAAAGGAGTTTTGTACATTTTTTACCAAAAGGCCTAACAAGGCTTACAAAAAAAATTCTCCTAAGGCTCAGAACCACTGTCCCCGAAGTCCTTCCTCATTTTCTTCAAAGGCCTCCCGGAAGAACTCGACTCCTCCGAGTCGGCCCCTCTTTTACAGACCTCCATTAGTGGAGGAAGGATTATCGCTCCTGAGTCGGAGGAAGACGAGGAGGACCCTCCCATCTCCGGGAATTCCTCTCCATCTAGAGCTTTGGACTCCTAAAAACCGAGGTGATGCCGGAGCTTCTCCAGATCTCCAGACTCAAGATCACTAAGAGCCCTCGGCTCCAATACACTCTCCTACACTTCAGGCCAAGCTGAGTAGGATAGTATGTCATCGGCACCGAACACCCAGACGAAGAACTTCCATTCTTCATTCAACTCATGGAAATCTGTGTCCAAGCGGAAATCACCCCAACAGTGGAAAATATAGTGAGGGTCTCCCTCAACAGACCCCACACTAAACACGTGCCCAAGCAAATTAATGCTGGGCCCCACTCCTGCCTTGGAGCAAGCGTCTATGAACGACGTTAAAGTATAAATGGTGTGTGGGTGAAATTGGTAGGGAGAAACCCCCAAAGCCGTAAAAACCTCCCTGATGAAGGGATGTAACGGCAGGTGTAGTCTACATTACAGATGCGCCAGATAGAGGGGCACCCGATCCTCCCCATGCATATGCACCGGAGTAAGGTTGTCCGGTACCCCCACGGTCATCATCACATGAGAAATGTTGTACTTATCATGCAACCAGTTTGCCTCATCCAAACTCATCCTCGACCTAGAAAGATACAGGACCCTGAGTTTCCTCTCACGGTCGTTCCGAGGAAAAGCCATGATAAAAATCTCTTGGGAGGAAGGAAGAATTAACAAGGAGAAATTTTTCTGATGTAGAGTGTTCCTTTAAAACAGCGCCATGATTTATTTATAAGCCTCCGAAGGAGCATGCAGGAGAATTCAAGAGGTGCAATCATGGAGTAACTGAGAAAGATCCATTTTGGAAATCGGAAACGAATCGCTCGAAAAGGACAACCGCTGCTCATAGCTTACGCCAGCCAATTAACAAGTAAAGGCACCATTCACTCTACCCATGATGCCTCGTTTCCTTTAAAAAAAAGCGGTTCCCAACACTGACATAATTAACCTACAGAAGATTAGCGGTTAGCAAGTTCTATGCCACGTCTCCAGCCATGATCAACTGGCTAAAAAATCTCAACACTGAGCAAACTCATATCTATTTCATTTGGACCCGACTAAAGTCAGATCCAAATAAAAGAGGCCAACTGTTATGGTAATTTACCATCTAAAGAGAAGTATCAAGAAATTATCTATATAGGCTTAAAAAAGCCATGGTCCAAAATGGCTTTAAAGCGCAGCCGAGGCCAAGCCTATCGCTTGGGACAAGTCGATCCCTCGTAATTAAGATGACTTCTCAAGCAGACGTCTAATCATACACTCGACCAAAGCTTACTCGACTATCGGGTCGGCAAGTCATCATGATGACTTGCAGATTAACCCGCCTCGACTAAAGGGATAAGATCCGACTAATCTCACTTCAGAAGTCAATCAACACAACAGCACTGATCAGTCCCATCGAGATCTTTGCTATGACAAATCCCCTGCATAAGCCGTTTATTCTACTCACAAGTCACTTCTCTAGGATCGCCATGATGCTCTTCTGGTCTCGAATAACTTCCCCTCCAATCACCAGCCGCCATCTGGAGAGGGAAGGACGACCGAATAGTGGGCCTATCCTCTATCCTTCCTCATCTGTCAAATCCAGGATACTAAGAGGACACCTCTCTCCTGTATTCAAATGACTTTCCTTCCAATCACCAGCCTACACCTGGAAGGAGAAGGATGACTCAATAGCCTATCTACTCACCTTGCAACCGCCCTCCTGTGCGAAATAAAAGCCAAAATCTCAGAGGCAATGGACTATAAAAGGAGGTAAGAAGGGTAAGGGGAAGGAGGGAGCTCCGTTTCTTTTAACATATGAACTTTACTCCCCCTTTATTCTTGGCATAAAATAAAATCACCTCTTATAGAGGACCCCCCCTGCTAGGACCTCAATGGCCCGGGGACCTTCCAAAAAACCTCTCTCAAGATCACCAGCTGACTTGACCGTCGGAGGTACCACGGGGAAACTAGCCCCGTACTCTTGTGATTTTTGCATGTGCGGGTTATCAGTCCACCCTGTGCGCTTAGAATCAGGCGTAAAGTCGGAGGAGGAGTCGACCCCATATTTTATCCTCCCAGCCTCCATCATCAACAAAAGACCCTCATCGACTGCGTGTTCACGGACATCAACAATCACCAAAGGAGACATTTCCTCCTTCAATCCTTAATAGGGTTGTAAATAATTACTTATTGCCCGTCATGTGATGTGAGCAACCACTATCAAGGTACCATAACTCCTTATGTCTTGTGCGAGATGTTCCCTACATATAAATAAGTTGTAGAACCTTTAGGTACCCAAACTTTTGGTCCTTGAATGTTAGTATTTTTGGTACCCTAAGGTATCCACATTAACTCATAATGATCAATATTATTTTTAATCCTACAATGAGTAGAGATATGACCATATCTCATGTAATATATGCATAAAAAATTTTTCTTGTATGTAGGAGCATAAGATTTATGATACCATTTTCTATCAACATGATGATGGCTAGAGTAAGCATGATTAGATTTAATTCTTTCATTTTTAATTTCTAGCCTCTCAATTTTAGACCTTAGTTGTTTTTTTCCAAAGTCTAGATCTCCTATCATTTCATCTTTTAGAGCAAGAGAAGATTATAGTTGCACAAACTTAGAATCACAAGAACCATGTAATTTTTTGAAAGAAGAGTATTCTTTTGCCACTCTTTTAAATTTAATGTTTAATTCTTCTAATACGGTTTCTAGTTCACATTGCATAAAGAATGATTCACTTTCGGTTTCGGATTGTGCCTCATCTTCATGAGCCATGAAATAAATGTTTGGGTCATGAATAGCAATCTTAGCGCCCTCATCATTGCTATCTGAATCGCTTGGTTCGGATTCATCCCATCCGGCATACATAGCCTTCTTCTTGTTGTAATTTAAGTACTTCTCCTTAAGCTTAGGACAATCCTTTGCTAAGTGTCCTGGTTCATTGCATTCGAAGCATTTACCTACACGAGAGGGAAATTTGTTTCTATTGTTTTTAGATCGATTTTTAAATTTTTTATTCATTTTAATTAGTCTTGATATTCTTCTAGAGAGGTGTGCCACTTCTCTAGAGACATCAACTTCACTATCCAAGGAGGATGAGTCATCAATTGCCCCTTTGAGTGCAATAGTCTTCAATTTTTTAGATGGTTTCTCGGTTGCCTTTGGGGGTACTTCCTCCTTTTCCTTGATCTTCTTCTCATGGACCTTGAGCTTGCTAATGAGACCATAAAGAGTAAGTGTTGTAAGATCATGAGCTTCCTCGATGGGCATAGCTTTGGGCTCTCACACCGGCGTCAAAGAACGAAAAATCTTGTAGTTCATCTCTTGGTTCGACAATTTCTTATCAAGGCCATGCAATTCATTTATGATGTTAGTAAATCGAGAAAACATAGCATCAATAGATTCATTTTGAAGCATTTTAAACAATTCATAATCATGCATGAGGCCGCTAATTTTGGACTCTTTAACTTGGGAGATTCCTTCATGAGTGATGCATAACTTTTCCCAAATTTCATGTGCAGTTGCACACGTGGAAACTCTATTGTATTCATTGGGAGTAAGTCCACAAATTAAAGCATTCATGGCCTTTATATTAAGGTTTGTTTTGAGCCTCTTACCATCGGTCATACTACTACTACTAGGTTTCTCAGCATATTTCTTCTCTACGATGTCTAGAATATCAAGGTAAATTCATCAAAGATAAATTCTCATCCTAGCTTTTCAATAAGCAAAGTTGCTACCAGTGAAAAGGGGTGGTCTAGTAGTGGATTGTCCTTCTAGCATATGCATATTCATTAAAACTTCCATTTAGATCTTTTCTCTAAGGGATTTAAGAATAACAAATAGTAAATACCTCGCTCTGATACCAATTGAAAGGCCCTAGAGGGGGATGAAAAGAGCATAGGCAATAAATATGCAATTAAAAGTAAGACAAAGCAATACACAACAAAATAAAATGCTAAAACAAAATAACATAGGTTAGGAAATAGTTAGCCAATTGTGACACGCGATATGTTCACGAGGTTCGGTCCTCCGACTTACGTTCCCGCTTCCAACTCTCGAGGAGAATTCCACTATCACAATCCGGTTTGAAAGCCGTAACTTCTACACAACGATCTCCTCTTGAGATCTCACAACCACACAGTAGATCTTCACAAGATCTTGCACTCCACACGATACAAAGAAAAGTAAGAAGCTCTCTTACAACAGCCATATAGCAAGAATAAGAGATTCTAATTGAAGCTTGGGATGTGGGATTTGCAAGTGTGAAAACAGATTAAGGAATTTTGAAAATTGAAGCTCTTTTTAACACAAGAACACAAGCTCAATCAATTTATCTTACAAAGTTATTTCAGAATTAAATAGGGTAGTTGGGTATATATAGGCAATCCTTGGAAGAAGCCAAAAACCCTAGAAAAAGATAAAAAAGACCAAATCCCAAAAATCTAAAAGCTGGTAGAAACTAGCTGTTAAAGTAGCGACGGTTGACCGCAGAGCCATTGGTGGTCGACCGTAGGAACTAGCCGTCATAGCCAAAACTCTCTAGACTTTTCACGGTCGACCACCGAACCAAGTCCGGTCGATCGCGAGAAGCTGCCTAGTTCCCAAACTCTCTAGACTTTTCACGGTCAACCGTCGAACCAAGTCTGGTCGACCGTAAACTGATACCAAACATACACAAGGTTTTAAAATAGGTTTTTGATTTTGGGCAATTGTAAAAAATTATCAAACAATTTTCAAAAGTTGTAAAACTCTGGAGAATGTTTTTAAACAAGAAAACAAACTTGTTTGACAAAGGATTTTGCAAAAAGGTCCTTATACTTGTGAAAACTCATTGTTTAGCAAAATTAACAAAATGTGAGTTTTGAATGAGTGTGCGTGTGTTATCCCAAGAGCTTCAAATACAATCTATCAAACTACTTGCCTACCTTATGCACTAGAGAGAAATAAAAATACAAATATCTCTCACATACAAATATATAGCTTGAGTCTTGATATTTGCTTGATTTTTGATGAAGCTTCTAATTTGATATTGTGCTCTTGATAGCTTTGCTTCAACAGTTTGCCTCTACCTCCTTGTTTTTATCGTTGTAGCTTGATAATCCATCCAATCCTCTAATAAAAGGTACTAATGAGCTTGATATTATTGTAATCTACAACATCACTCAACAAGCAATTAGTACTAATAATGGTGGTTGTAAATCATCATCAAAACATAAAGGCTAACAAATGAAAGGTCTGATTTTAATGAATGGTTCCCCAGAAAGATCAACATTGAAGTGCTTGAAGATAGGGGTGAGAATGGCCCCAAATGGAAGGAATTTGGTGTGGGTAGATGCCATTATGTCAAATATTACTTTACCCCACAAGACATCTCTATTGCCAATAATGGCATATATGGTAATGGTAAGATATTAGGAGTAATGATCATAACCCCTAGTTTTGGGGATTAATTTGTAACTAAGTATTCTCCCAATAATCTTAGCCAAGATGGTAGCATTATTGGATTCAAGAGGGAAATGTCTACCAGGAAGGATCACTAATGAATCAATAGCAGGGTCATCAAACACAATATCACCTAAAAGAGTGTCTCCTCTAGGTATGTCAAGAATTTTAGAAAGTTAATTTGCTGAAAAAAGGATTTGGTGACCCTTAACAAGAGATGAAATGAATGGAGTGTTAGGGTCGATGGAATCTACTTGCAAGTTTGCATAAAATAACCGCACTAGATGGGGCTATTGCGGGTGAGGTTTGGTACTGTCAAGCAAATCAAACAAACCAACATTTTTGAAATATGTACTCAAGTTGAAATGGTTACAATCCTCGAAAGAAACGAATCTCCCGGGGAAGATCTTCAGTTGGCACAAGGCACGATACTTCCCAATTAAAGTGGGATTTTGTAAATATTGTTCATAATACTAAAGGTTCTCCGCGGGAGGAGGAGATTGAGCACGAGGGGCTCGAGAAGGGGGATTGGGAGCATGAGAGGAAGAGGGTCTTCCTCTACAAGTCCTGGGACGCTTAGAACTGCCCCTATGCCTAATGAAAGATAGAAACAAACTGATTGCAATCACTAGAATTTGAAACCCTAGAAATAATAAACCCTAAGATCTGAGCTCTGAAATTGACAAGAAGAAGGAGATTATATTAGCAGAGGGGATCTCAGAGCTCGACGGTCGACTGGAAAAGAACGAACGACAGAGGAATCGACGGAGATGTGATTGCTAGTCGATTGATTTTGGGGAAATTTGATCGGATTGTGAAATTTGGGGAAGAACAGGTTGGGTTTAAGGTATAGGGAAGGATCGGACGGCCAAGATAATCTCAAAAACAAAATGAACGGCCAGGATTAGAATTTAAGCCGGTCGGGTTCAGAACCAAATGAATAAAACCACAGAAATCTAAAAACCCAAGAAGCAGACGAGCCCGCCGGTCGACTTATCAGTTGCCTGAAGGCATCAGTCGACTGATAAGTCGACTGATATGCTAAAAAAACTATTTTTCATATAAAAATTTGACTTTTGTGATTTTAAATACATATAAATATATATAAAACTGTAAACACTCATATAATTAATGAGTAAACATGTCTCAAGCAAAAATTTCACACAAAAAAAAATTATTAGAAAAATATATAATTGAAAAAAGTTCACAAAATCAATTTAAACTCATCCTATATAAATAAAAAAACTCATAAAACGAAACAAAATTAATTTCGTTTTGTCACCCAATCATTTTTGATGCCGAAAAATTTTGGGACATGACCCCCATCATTTAATTCAAGGCCCTATGGTTATAAATCCATTTGGACGCATTTTGTGTACGAATACGGTCAAAGCAAAAATTGTATACATGACCTTTACGATTATAATTTGTACAATATAAAGGTTGAAATGGTTTACGTTTACCAAGATGTTGTGCACGTGACTCATTTGCAAAAATAGGTTTATCTTTAAAATTGTTTTGCAAACGAGAAGTTCTTCTCAAATCGTAACAAAACTTGGTCAAATGGCCAAAACGACCACAAAATTCATACTTATACACATGAGCATATTTATAATTATCACTATGTGTGTGTACATGTGTATGAGATGGAGAAGCTTGATGGGATACACAAATATGATTAGGCTTCTTAGGCTTTTGTGCATTATAACAAAATTTAGCAATATGGCCTTTACGATCGAAAATTGAACACTTGTAAATTTTGTTATACATATGTGCATAGTGTATAGTTTTCCTGGAAGAATTTTCATGGGACTTTGCACATAAGTCCATAAGCTTATTGTTATTAACAATGCAAGTTTTTAATGTTGAATCTAAAGAGGAAATTCTACTTTTAACATGATTCAACTCATTATTTACTACACAAGCATTGTTATTAGAAGTAGAACATGCAACTACCAGTTTTGAAAGAATTAAGCTCTTTCCTAATGTTCTCAACTTCTAATATAGCATCACATTTTTCATGAAACAAACTAGCAATTTCCAATTTTAATTTTTTATTGCATTCTTCAAGATTAATATTTTCATTTGCAAATAGATCAAACTTAGTGGCTAGTGTTTCATAAGAGGATTTCATTTCGACATGCTTGCTTTTTAAATCAATAAAGCTATGTTGCAATTTTTTATAATCATGCATCAATAATTCATAGCCATGTGCGAGTTCATTAATAGTAATATCATTTTTGTTATCGGACTCGCATACCTCACTAGGGCTATCGCCTAGTGCAGTGTGCATGATGAGGCTCCATGTGAACTTGAAGAGGGAACCACCATGGATCATCAGATTGCCTCCAAGTTCCCTTGATGTGCTTCAAAAAGTTTACATATTGTACATGTTAGACCCTAAGGACGCTAGGAAAGAACCCAAGAGGGGGAGGGGTGAATAAGGTTTATGCTAATCTAATCCGATTTTATGCCAATTAAAACTAATTAACAAATATATCCTAGCAAGTATGACATGCTACAAGATATGTGCAAGGATATACAATATAAACAAGGGTAAACAATATGATCATGCAACAATGGCGATATAACAATATGCAAGAATAAATACGCCAATGCCAAACCCAAACACAAGGAAATGATCATGGAGTTTGGACCTTCTGTCCTACGTCTCCGCTCCCCACTCCCGGGGAATCCACTACACAACCCGGTTTGGAAGCCGAAACTTCTCTACACACTCGGTTTTCTAGCTAACCGAAAAATTTACACACTCAGTTATCAAATCAACCGACAACTCTCACAAATCCTCACAATGTACATACACAAGCTACAACCTCAAGTGTTCGTCCTCACGTATCAACTCCCTCAAGTGCTCGGAATTATCACCTCTTACTAGGCCACTGACGCCACTCCTCTCGGTACCGACTCCGTCCTCACCACACACTCCTCTCGGTGTACAAGTGTATTACAAAGTGAACTTCATAATTAGGCACACAACAAATGATTGTTCTCTAAACAAGGTGAGAACTCAATTAGGCTCAACTCAATGTTACTATTTCTCACAACCCCAAATATATTATGAATTCAAATACGATAAGCTCAATGTGGGTATGTGTAACAATGAGATTCAATAAATCAAAACTAAACTCAAATAGAAAATCTAGCTTAAGAACAATGATGCTCATACAAGTATATAAATGTAAAGCTAGAGTTTGAGTTTAGAAAACTTCTCAATAGATAACAAGAGATGGAGGGAGAATAGTTAGAAGCTCAAACTTTAATAGATGATCTCCTCAAGCTCTTGTGGAATTAATTCACAAAACCGAAAACACTCAAATGCTTAAAAGCTTATAAACACACTTTAAACAAACTTAAACAAACTTTAAACCCTTGTTAAACTTTCTTAGATCCTTAAAGAATGAGAGCAATGAGGTATATATATAGCCACCCAAAACCTCAGCCAAAAACCCCAAAGGAAAAGACCAAAAAGCCCAAGAATCAGAAATCTGATTCTGTCCAAATAAAGCCGTTACAGTGTTATGAGTCGACTCGTCACTGTTCATGAGTCGACACATAACTAGCTGTTACAGGCTAAAAACAACTTATGGGTCGACTCATAAAATTCATGAGTCGACTCATCATGCATGGGTCGACTCATGAAGTCATGGATCGACTCAGCAGAAACAAATGACAACTGTGCAAGACTTTATGAGTCGACTCGTCACTGTTCATTAGTCGACTCATGACATGCACACAGTCTGTTTTGCACAGTAAAAACCAACTATAAACAGGGTTTAAAAATATCAAATAAATTCTAAAAATTATGAAACTTTGGGAAATATTTATAAACATATTAAAGAACATGTTACAAAAAGAATTTTTGGAATTGCACTTCTCATTTATGAAAACTTGTCATTTTACAAAAATGTCCAAAACATGCAAACTTGATATACTTGAATTTTGATGTTTTGACATAAACCAAGTTTTAAAAATTTGTAAACTGATTTTATAGACTTAATGAAAGGTGTAAACTATTGTTATGAAGTCTATAAACAATGAATATAGTATTTTAACAAAATACACATATAATGCACTAAAACATGATTTCATTAAACTGATAAAATTGATATTGATGAAATCATATATATGCATGTAAGTATGAAACAAAAATATGTTTTCTAATTATATTTAATTGTTTCATAGTAAAACTTGAAAACTATCAAATCAAAACATATATGTATATATATAACTATATATATACATGGAAACCAATAAATATGTGTGTATATTATATTGAGCTTAAGGTACTAACACACATATTATAAACTCCTAAACTAAATTACCCAAGCTTGATCTTGATCTTCGATGTAGCTCAACTTGGTACACTATACAGATGAAGTTTGAACTTGGATCTTGAACTTGAATTATATTGCTTCAACCACCATATCCGCCAACATCCATTTGATATGATCGTGAAAGCTTGATTCCATCCATCCTTCAACATATTATTTGTCTATAATGAATACAAGACACAAACATTAGACAAACAATATTAGATGTAAATTGTTTGTAAATCATCATCAAAACAAAAAAGCCAACAATCTCTCCCTTTTTGATGATGACAAATAATTTACAAAAAGGATATATGCATGAAAGGAAATGAATATACAAATTATCATTATCATGCATATAAGCAAGAAGGAATATAGTCATAATATTTCTCCCCCTTTGACAACATCAAAAAGGGAAAAACAACAAGAATGAAGAGAGCGAAAGCTCCCCCTGTCAATATGCATGAGTGAGTATAAAACAAGTATAGGGAATAGCTTCCCCTATCAAAATGCCATATAGAATATATGAAATGAAAGCTAAGGCAAAAACATGTGAGTAAGTATAA